CCCCAGTCCCCATGCCTACAATCACCCGGATCGGACCGCAGCCACCGCACCCTCTCCATCTCGGGCCCTGCTGTGTGTCACTGCCGCTGCACGCTGACATTTTTTTCCCCGGATGCCACTTATTTATAGCACGCCTGACCTTTTCCCCAAGTTTACATCCTCCTTTCCCTTCCCTTCCGCCCACCCAGCCCCGAAAGCCACCCCCATCTTTCTCCCAACCCGGCTGCGTGCAGCATCCCCCGGGGCCCGGCTGGGATGCGTGGTGCCAGCATCCCCTAAAAAGCACGGGAGGAGAAATCTGGGGGTGTCCATCAGGCACGAGCCCCCTTCCCTTCTGCGAGGAACAGCTCGGAGCTAAGCCTCCAGCCCAGACGGGCAGAAATCCTTGCTGGGGGAGCGCAGCCCCAGCGCTGGAAGCAGCAGCCGGGCTCTGTGTGGGTGGGATCTGCCAGCGAGCTGCAGGCTGCGAGGGCAAGGGAGAGCCGGAACAGCTTCTGTGCCAGAGCATCGATTGCATCCCAGCTTCAGGCTGCTTGTCTCCTCGGGCTGCAGGGAAATTTCATCTATTTCCCCCAAAACAGCAGGATCTGGTCCCCACTGAGAGCCCTGTCACTTGCTCCCAGGGTCCATGGGGTCCCCAGACCCCTCTTTTTGGGGGAAGCCTCCTGCAGCACGCTAAGGAAATGATTTTTCTTTGCCGAGCTTCTGGGAGATTCCCTTCGCCATGGAAATCCCCTTGTTTCCATCAGCCTGGGGTCTTCGAGGGGTGTCCCAGCTGCTGGGGGTGCAGGAGCCGCCCCCAGGCTGCCGCAGGGACCCCAGGACGTGCCTCCCACCCCCCCCAGACCCTGACCTCGCAGCAGCCAGCCCCGTGCCGCCCCTGCTGCTCTAATTACTCCTCTGGCACCCCGCGTGGGGCCCTCCGACCAAATTACAATCGATCCCTCGCTCGAGCCCAGTCGATGCCATTGACTGAGGCATCAGAAAGACAAATCCACGCTCCCACCCCGGGGAGGAGGCGGTGGCCTCGCTGGGGATGCCCCCACACCACGGCCCCAACACCCCAAACACCGGGGGCTGGTGTTAAGCACGGTGCCAAAACCTCGCTGCCTCATCTTGGGCAGCCCCATGGGGTTACCACGGTGTGCAGCAAGGTGCAGGATGCACGGGGACACCTTCATTTGGTGCTCTCCATCCCTAGCACCGTGCATGGCTTTTATGGTTAGGACAAAAGCCTTCGAGGACCTGAAGATACTGATTTGATGCTCCATAGGAGAGATCTGGCAGCAGGGAACGCAGCTCCAGGACCACACAACCCCAAGCATTAAGGGAATTCCCCCCCAGATCTCCCCCCGTGCCCAGCTCCAGCTGATTAATTCAATCAGAGCCCAGGCACGGGATCGCTGGCTAACCCTCGGCACATGTTACAGGGATGGGAAACGCGCGGGGGCCGCCCCTGCAGCCCCCACCAGCCCCGAGCAGATAACACAGCCGCGCGCTCAGAAATTACAAGGAATTTGCAGCCCTCCCATCTAATCCACAGGGGAGCCGTCTGAATCCTACAAGGAGCATTTGGCCTCTGGGTGCGGAAGAGCTTAGAGGCACGCAGAGACATTAAAAACACACATGGGGATTAAGCCAGGATGCGGGAAGGGAGAGCACAGCTGGGGACCGCGGGTGGCTGCAGGAGGTGCTTGGGGGCACCCAAGGGTAGTGGCGAGGTGGCCGTGGGCACGCAGGGTTCAGGCAAGGTCCAAACGCTGTCTCGTGGGCCCCCAGTGCCCCTGCAGCCTCGAGCAGAGCCCAGGGTGGTGGGAACCCACAAGATGCTGCAGGACAGCTGGGACGTGACCGCGGCGTGCACCAGCAGCAGGGTGCTGCAGATTTTGGGGTGTCTGGCCCCGATGCCCAAGCAGGCACCGAGCACCCGCTGCCACAGCCAGGTGGCAAGGCTGGTACCCGGACCCTGGTACCCAGACCCCAATATCCATGGCCGTGGTGGTGGGGTCTCACAAGGATAAACTTTGGAAGCGTCCCTCATCATTTGGGATTTATTCCGATCATCTCTAATCCTCCGCCTTGATTGCTGAGGCTCCCAATCTCATTAGCTGGGCTACGCCGCATAGTTATTTATGGTGGGGGGCTCTTTAAAATTGATATTAATCCCATCTCGGTAATCTGACGTTTATTGATTTTTATTTTTAACCTGGCATTTTATTAAGGTGAGCCGAGGCAGCTCACAGGGGCAGCCCCAGCCCTGTACCCCCCACCCCGAGCAAAGCCTTGGAGATGCAGCGTGCACCACGTAATGCTCCCAAAAATGGGTTTACACCACCTCGGGCTTCTGCAGACTGGGAGCATCACCGGGATGCACGAGCTGCCAACGTGGCCCAGCTCGGAGAGGCTCCAGCTCTTGATTGTTCTCCTTTAAACCCATTATTATCATTTTTGTTAATTATAACAGAACGCAGCGCCTTCCGCTCGATGCGTTTGGGGACGTCCGCGCTCACAACTGCCTGATTAAGAAGGAGCCATTAGCACCCCGTCAAAACAGCTTTTCAAAAAGGAGCTTTGACAAAATTGTCACAGTCGATGTATCGGGAGAGAGGGAGCCCGCACAGCCCGCCAGGCGTGATTTTACATCATTTTGACAGCTCGCATTAAGGCAACTTCCAACACCTTTGGGAAATCACCTCGCCGGTGAGTGCGCAGTGAGCACCGTGCCCGGGGGGCGAGCCCAGCATCCCATCCCAGCCAGCTCCAAGCAGGATTTGGCTCCAAAGCCAGGCAATGGGATGCTCCTTGGGGTACCCTACATCTCCCTGCGGTGCTGGTAGAGCCCGTGCCTCAGTTTCCCAAAGCCCCAAACCCTTCTGGCCCCAAGGGTAAGCCCGTCAGCGTCCACTGATGTCAAAGCAAGCCGGAGGGGGTTCCTTCACCTCCAGCCCTGTTCCCTCTCTGATTCATTTTCTCCATTCTACCTTTCTGCTGCTGCTAAGAGTTAATGGCTGTTTACCCGCCTCCTCTCTAGACCCTTGGCAAAAAGCAAAATGCCAACAACTTGGGGAACAGCTCATGTTTAGCTTGGCAGGACGGCTATTGTTCCTATATTGCAAATGCATGTATCACACCGAAATGTTGTGAGCGAAAGCAGACTGTTCCCCCTGGTCCTGCTAAAGCAACGGCAAGCACCACATTACAGCTGGATGCACATCAAGCCGAGCTTTGCACATGGAAGCTGCCTCCTCCTCCCAGCAAAGGCTTCCCAAAAACGTTTGCATCAGGATCTTCCCTGCCACAGCATCGCTGCTGGGGCCATCGCAGCCCCTCTGTCCCGTCTCAGCTGGGTTCCTCTTGGTGCATTTGAACCCAGCAAGTTTTTGCATTATGCACGGAGAAGCTTGAAGGAAAAGAGCCAGGAAATTGAGATCGCAGCAGCTGAAAGCCCTAACAGGGAGCAAACCCTAAAAAGCAGGAGCAACGTGCCCATCGCAGGGGGCAGGCAGGGACCATCGGAGCAGAATGGAGCTGGACCTGGAGCAATGGGTGCTGTGCCCACAAACACAGCAAGCACAGAGCCAGGGATCTGCAGGAGAGGTGTGGGGAAGGGATGGGGAGGGCACTCGGTGGCCTTGCGGTATTTTTAGCTCCTGGGTTTTATTTAAGAGCTGACGGTTTAATAAGGAGGTGGTTTTAATTGGAACTCGAGTCACCAAGGAAAACACAAGCAATGGGAGTAAATATATAAAGATAGCCGTGTTTCTAAAGGTTGTGTGGTACCTTCCTAATTAAATTGAGTGTGTTTTAATTACAAATCAAAGTTAGTGCCATTTAAAAAAATAACCCACAGGCATTTTCCTTGATTTGAAGAGCAGCTGACGCCGACTTGGGAAAACAGAGTAGCCAAGAAAATGGTGCAGGGGTCAGCTGCGATCAGCTCGTTTGCAACACCACCAAAACAAACCCGAAAAGACCCCTGAGATGGGCCACGAGCACAGCAGGACATGGGAGAGATGGGCAAGGGCCAGCCCAGAGGGGCAAGGAGGAAAAGCAGCTCCGTAAAACCAAAGCTGATGGAAGAAGTGGTGCTAAAACCTGCTTTTAGCCTCTTGTAACGAGGAAACCAGGAGGAGATGGAGCGGAGCACTTCTAAACCAGATGAAGAATTGATGGCAGTGCTTGGTTAGTGATCCCAACTGGAAGAGCTCCAACCAGCACGTGTTGAGCTTCTCCTGTGTCTCCTCCAAGAAAAAAATGAAACCAAACCAGCTACAAGCAGCTGGACACCACATGGGGAGGCAAGCCCAGAGCCCCTTAGAGATGCCCCTTAGAAAAACCCAATTTGGGGCTGCTCCAGCAATCCCAGCTCCCGCAGCCGGGCACCACCTCTCCAAGCACCAGATCCTTTTCCAGGAGAGGGACCCAGGCACTTCCCAGCCTTCTGCTCTCGTACCCGGTGACACCCAGCCGTCAGCGGAGGCTGTGACTGACAGCTCCCCGCACAGCGCTCCGAAACATCTCCCCAGCAATTACCTCCACAAAAAGGGAAGGGGAGTGCGAGATCTGCCCTGCTTCAAGCACAGGTCCCAGGGAAAGCAGCTGAGCAGCCACACGCACCTGTGTCACCTCCAGCTGGTAAGGACACGGTGGCTTTGCAGGGCTCCCCGTGGGCTGCATGTGCTTTGCATGGGCATCGCTGTGCCCTGTGCTGCTGCCTGCTTTTCCTGCAGGTCCTGCAGCAAGCCAAGGCAGTGTGGCCTCGCCAAAGCATCCAGGCAGTGACCGTGCCACGGCTTGGGGACAGAAACCCTTGGCTGACGTCCCCAGTGCTGTGTCCTCCGTTGCCAATTGCATTCTGCTCTCCCCACCTGTGCCTGACTCCTCATTAGCAAGAAAGGACAGAAAAAAACTCCAATTATTATTTCTTCTGATGGCAACAGAAGCGCAGCCCTGCTCTTTGCAACGCCTGCGGAGATGCAGAAGCATTTGGTGCGCAACCGTCCCCCGGCGAGGACGCCGGAGCCGTGGCTGTGCCTCGCCAGCGATGCCCAAAGAAATCAGCCCCATAAAGATCCCACCCGCAGCAGGGCTGCGAGGCAAACCCACGGGGGAGCCGCCGGGAGCTCGTCACGCCGCGTGCTCCTAGAAAGGCTGATTCATGCTTTTCTTTTCGCCAGGCATCCCTCGCACAGCCTGGGATGAGGATGGAGCTGAGCGGGTGTCTTTGCTCCACGCTGGGCTTCCCTTCGGGAGGCATGCTGAGACCCAAAACCAGGTGTTTTTGGAGGAAAAAAAGCAGAAGAGAAGGCTTTTCAACTTAATGAAGGAGGACTGGGCACCCCGAGATAAATCAGCCCCCAAAAAATGCTGCTCTTCCCCAGCTGGAGCTCCGACCCACAGAGCCTGTTTATTTTTAGATGGCACTGATCAGATGCATTTTACTGATGTATTTTTGACTTAAAATTAAGTCAGTTGGTGACAAAATGCTGGTTCAGGAGTGGGTCAGGCTCAGAAAAAGGAGCTGAAACATCCCAGCTTAAGCCAGGTTAGGTGCTAGGGGGCAAAGAAAGCAAAATAAAGGCACCAAAAGAAAGCCTCAGGAGGGGAAAATAAATCAGCACAGTTCTCAGCCCACCTCTGCCTTACAGATTGGGAAGGCATCATGGTCTGGGGGAGCTGTGCCACCTCCCCGTGCCACTTCTCCTTTGGGACGTGCCAGACACCCCAACACCTCCGCTGGCACCACCACCCGATGGGAACCCCCCGGGGTCAGCCCCCAGCCCCGGTGGGGACGCAGAGCCGCTGAGCACCCTCCTCGCTGCGCTGCTCTCCTCAGATGCCTCCCTTCCCCAGGCAAACAAACACCTTCGGATGCCTCCCACCCCAGCCAACCTGTTTTTCACACCAGCTGCCGTCCGCCCATGTGCATCCCTCTCCCTAACAGCCCCTCCTGTGCGCCGTCATCCTCGTGCACGGGAGAGCCCCACAGCAGCTCCCTTCCCGGGGTGTCCTCCGCAGCACCCGGACACCTCAGCTGGTTTTATCCCAGGGGGGCAGGGCTGCTCCTGTCAGCTGGTAGAAGCCATCAGCACCGGGCTATATAAGCACGTAGGGTGATGCAGAGGAGAGGTAAAGCAGCCCTGGGGGTTGCATATCCCCCTAGAGATCCTCTGGGGAAGTCTCCAGGCAAATACCTCATGGAAATGCCCTGAGCACACAGGGCAGTGCCCAACGTGTCCCATGCTCCCTGCTCATCTCCCAGCCCCCCAAACATCACCAGGCTCATCCTGAATTTCCAAAGGCAGAGTTAAACAACAGCATCAACACCTTATTAATTTGCAAGGATGGAGTCAATTAACAGCACTGCTTTGTTTCCAAAATCCTAATTGGTTTTCCACCAAATCTCCTACGGACACAAATCTCTGCTCGGGCACCTCGTCTCACGGGCAGCACGTGAGGGGATGGGAGCAGCAGGACACGGGGATGCCAGCAGATCCTTACTACAGCTACTAGATAAACAGCAAGGTGATGTGGGTGACCCCCAGCAGCTCTCCATCACCACGGCATTGAGAGCTCGTTAACAGCTCTGACGGCTCCTGCGATGGATGCTGCAGGGAGCGACAGTCGCTCGGGCAACCATCTGCAGGGTACCCAGCCTCCAAATGGACAGGGGCTTCCCCCAGCTGGGTCTGGTGGGGACAAATGTGCTGAGAGCAGGAAAAGAAGGAGGGAGAGACAGATTTTCTGCATGTGGAGCAAAGGCAGCATGTTTCCCAAAGCCATGGCACTGCCCAAACCCAGCGAGTGTCCCCTCCGCGCAGCACCGCAGTGCCCTCGGTACCTGGCCAGGAGAGCTGAGAGTGGTGGAGGTGGTGCAGAGCAGCCAAGGGGCTGGGAAGGTCCCCCCACTCCCCTATTTATGGGCTCACCACCCGCAGCTGTGACCCCATGGGTTTGGAGGCTCCAGGTGCTCCTCATCGTGGCCACTCATCGCTGCTGCCTCCCAACCCATCCCGGTGGATGTCCCCTAAACCATCCCCATTTGTCCCCATCATCCTGCCTCCCCACGCCCCCAGATTGAAGCAGTGATGCTCTCCCCCACGTAAAATCCCCTTCCCAGCTCGTACCCACACTGATGATTGTGATTTTGCTCCGTTAAGAAGTGCACAGCTGCGAACCCGCCGCTGGCTCATCCCTCGCCCGTGACTCAGCTCCGAGTGCCGTACTATCAGCGCCCCGATCCACGCGCTGAGGACACACACAGGGCTGTAGGGCCAGCAGGAGCTCATGCATAGTCCGTAAACTCCCCCCAGCACTACGCTGCCACCCCCGTGGCTGAGATTTACCCCATTTCCACACCCACTTTCCCCCCAGTAAGAACCACAGCGCCAGTTTGTGCTTGGACCATTGCCCCAGCTGTCCCCAGAGGGGGGCGGTGACCCATGACCGTGTCCCCCGGGCTCAGCACCCCACAGACAGAGGGGAAGAGGGGCTGTCACCTCTCAGGGGGAACCATCACCCCCCTGGCACCCTCCTCCTCCTCCTCGCTGCTCCCCCAGGTTGATGGGCAAAGAATAAACCCATCTGATGGAGGGGCTGAGTAATGCGCTGCGCGCTCCTCCCCGGCAGTGAGTAATAGGGCTTTTGTCTCCCTCCCCGGCACGCCAAGGGCTGTGTTATACAGGGACACGGCGCTGCCGGCCCCGCACCTCGGTGGTGCTCAGCCCCAGCAAGGTGGGACCCAGGGGACACCTCGGGGAGGGGACGCACAGGGGCTCAAAGCCATGCAGGTGCCACCCCAAATGGATCGCGGTGAGCAGTGTCCAGCCTGCACCTGGGGACATCTGGGGACATCTAGGGACATTCGGGGACATTTGGGTGGCAGCTGTGCCACCAGATGGGTCCCATAGGCTACAGGTACCCACGGTGCTGGTGGCAGGAGGGGGCTCTGGGGCTGCTCTCACTGATGGACCCCACAAAGCGGCAGGGCCGTGGGTAACACCTCCCTGCTGGGTGCCATGGAAACGCGGCTCCTGCGAAAAATCCCCGCTTCCACCTGGATTTCCTCCTCCCCGAGGTACCACCGGAGGTGCGAAGGGTCCGACCCCGGCAGGATGGGTTCCCAGCCCTGGCTACGAGCGGGTACCCGGTTTTTTTTTTCCCCCTTTTCGGGTCCCTTCGGTGGGCTGGGGGCATTTCTCGGGGTGCACGGGGCCGAGGAATCCCAGCGCATCCCTCCCGGTGCTGAGTCACTTGGCGCCGGCGGTACCCAGGCAGCGCGGGGCTGGCGTGCGGCTCCTGCTCCGGCACCCACGCGGCAGATGGCAAGCCTCTCGCCTTGTGATAGGGATTTTTTTTTTATTGTTGTTGTTGTTTTTGTTTAATTTCTTGGCTGTTATTTCAGTCCGCGGCCCCCCTCTCCCGCCCTTCCCCCTGCCGTGTCCTCTCACCACCTTCCCCTGGGAGGAGAGGAGCGGGCAGCGAGGCGAGCACCGAGTTTTTGCAGGGATAAACACTGGCCCCATCGGCACGGCACCGAGCAACACTCTGAAAGGATGAAGAAAAACGGAAAAATTTGAAAAAAAATAGAGAAAACCCCAGCTGGGCCAGCGGCTCGCTGCAGGAGGGGGCTGCAAGCAGCCAGCTCTGCCCAAGCACCATCAGCAGCACGGATGTGCAGGGCCCCAGCCCATCCCTGGCCACCCACAAAGGGTGATCAGTGCTAACGAAGAGCATAGTAATGAGGCTCCCAGGAGCTCCTGCAGGGACCTGGTTTCTTCTCCGTGTCCTTTGCAATGGCTGCACGAAGCCGATGGAGAAACATCTCCGCGACGTTACGAGTTCAGCGGCTCAGCTGTGCTGGGGAAAGGAGAAGAAAAAAGCAGCGAGAGCAAGACAGCCTATAAATAAAAGCTGGAGAAGTGGGAGGCAGCAGCCACAAGGGCTTTTTGAAGCTGCAAGAAAAGCAGGTGCATTTTGGCTATGGCACTCGGTGCCTTTGTGTTTCCTGAAGAAGCCCGGGTATCCCTAATAGCCGATCTCCGGGTGGAAGTGCTGCGCCGACGGGGCTTCCCTCCCTCGCTGCTGAAAAGTCAAATAAATCTGAAAGGCAAATAGTGCGCAGAGCAGGGGGAGCGCTGCAGAGAACAAAGAGAGAGGAGGAAGAGGGAGAAAGAGAGAGAAAACGGGCTCGGAGGCTGCTGCAATGCTTCACACACCCATCAGGCTGGAGGAAAAAGGAGGAATGGGGAGCAGCCGTGCTCCCTGTGTGCAGCGGGATGAGGACACAAAACCCAGGGGGAGCAGATTTGCAGGAGCTGGCTCGGGGCTGCTGCCCTGCTGGGAGACTCCGAGCGGGACCAGGAGGGATGGAGCAAGGCCATGGGGGCTCAAGCAGCGGCTGCACCAGTGGAAAAGGCTTTGCTGGGTGAAATCTGGGGGCTGTGGGGATGGAAAGGCTTGGGATGGGTGAGAAAAGCCGCACGTCTGAACCGCATCCCACCTGGATGAAATCCAGAGCCTGGATTAAATCCCAAATGGGGGAACCACCAGGGCTCGGCACATCTCAGCCTCGGGGGCGCATCCAAAGCAGGAGCCCCCCAAAGTGCCACGAGGAGCGGGCAGCCGTGGGGCAGCAGGGGAAGGAGGCGAAATGACGGCCGGTCCTGCGGCACCTGGGGATGCTGGGGATGGGGACCCTGCGCTGCACCGGCGTGTGGCGAGACGAGGGAAGAGCGGAAGAGAAGGAGACAGATGGGCAGCGATGGAAACATAAGTTAACTCGAAGGAAGCGGATAAACAGCAGGCACGGAGCAGATCTGAGCACATATGCTGCTCCGTGCACAGCCAAGCGCAGGGAGGCTCCGGCGGTCCCCATCACCCTGTCCCCACGGGGGGGCCCAGCTGCGCCGGGAGGGCGGCGGTGGGAGCTCGGGAAAGGTGTTGTGGAAGGAAAAACCAAGGCTGGAGCAGATGCTGCTCCTGGTGCTGGGGCAGCAGCTGCAGGTGACTGCTGAGGACCCGAGGAGCTGATGGGAGAGGGAAGAAAGTCAATCCAAAGCTGAAGACGGGAGGATGAGACCCTCAGAAGTCCTTGAGCCCTGCAGTGCAGCTTGTGTCCTAATAATCAGCACCTACTCTGGTCCCACACTGCCGCTGTGGCTCCAGACATGTCCCTGCAGGGGACAGGGACACTGCCCACGGGGATGCTCCCACTGCTGCAGCCCCCAACTCGCCCAGAATACCAAGCAGGCGAGGGCACGGAGCCACCCAGAGCATCCCCAGCCACGTTCGGTCTGGTGCTAATGAGCCCCGGGCTCTCCATCCTCACTGAAAGTCATGACCCGGATTAATTGCTTAAAAAAAAAAAAAAAAAGAAAAATACCCAAAGGCTGCTAATAAAAGAAAAAAAAAAAAAAAGAGGCAAACAAACAAACAAAAGCACAACAAGCCCCACAGTGCATCCCAGCAGCCCGGAAAGCCCAGCCCGTGGCAGGAATGCGTGCCGGGGCCGCGGGCCAGCGCGGTGCTGGGCGCACACAGCCGCCCTTGTTCCCCGCTCCCAGCAGAGGGTCAGAGCTGCCGGCCGGCCTCGCTGCACAAGGGGCCGCCTGTTCGGAGGCAGCAGCAGGCTGCTAGCGCCTTCCCAGCCCTTGGCAGCACAAGAGCCCTTGCTGCACGCCCGGTGGTGCTGAGGGACCCCCCTGGGGCACCCAGCCCCTCCCCAGGTTTGCGCCTTTCCCTTTTTGCGCCGGGAAACCGAGGCACAGGGAGGCCAAGAGCTTGCCTTGTGCTCAGGACAAGGCTTTGGGAGCTGGTGTTGCCCCAGGTGCTGGCTGGAGGTGGGTGCTGCAGGCAGGATGGGTGCTTTGAGTCCTCAGCCCCCTCCTGAGCGCAGCCTCTCCCCTCTCCAAGCTGCAGATCCAAGCTCACCCTCGGGCTCTCCCGGAGCTGTCACTCAGAGCTCACTGTCACCTTCACAGGATTCATCCATCTGCCCCCACAAGGCTCCGGGTGCTTTGTTCTCAGCATTCTCCCATTTTCAATATCCCTCAAGGGCCTGGGGCACAGGGTGCTGAGCAGAGCACAGCGTCCAGCCACCCAGGTGATGCTCTGCGGGGCTGCCAGCTCCAGCTTCGTGTCTGACAGCCCCTGGGGGCTGCAGCTCCCCAGGGGCAGCAGAGGGGGATGCAGCCAAGGGGAAGCTCACAGGAAGGATTTGGCCCCACTTCTAAGTCCTTCTCTTGCAGCAAAGCCCTGTGGATGGGGGAGATTTGGGGTGATGGGAGCAGGAGGAGAATGGGATGGAGCAGGGGCAGGGATGGGGCACCCAAGGGAGGAGCAGAAAGGAGGTCCTGGCCAGCCCTGAGGCCACCAAGGCTCCTTCTCCTCCATGGCCCTGAGGAAGAGGAGGGCCAGGAGGGCCTCCTTGCCCTGCCAGCCAGAGAGGGAGGAGGATGAGGAGAGAGGAGGAAGCAGATGGGAGATGTCTGCCCGCCAGGCTGCGGCTCTCCGGGCCCCGTGACCTAGTTACCAGGCAGGGAGGTGAAGCACGGAGCCGAGCTGGGCAGGTCCAGAGAAGCAGAAATAAAAGGGACACGGACAGGGAGCTCCAGGAAAGCTTGAAGGGAGCTTTGCCGTGGGGAGGTGGCATCTGTAGGTCCCCAAAGCAGCCAAGCCCAGCACCTCGAGGGATGCTGAGCAGAACCAGGGGGCGGCACAGGCAGGGGGGGCTCGGAGTGAGGCTCTCCGTGCGGGGAACTCCTCGCCGCAGGACGCGTGGGCTCAGAAGCCGTCAGACACCGTGGCACATCCCCACCGGTGACACAGAGCCAGAAAAGAGCCCCAGCACAGCTCCAGGAGCCAGCAGAAACTGGAGGCTGAGCAGAAACCCCGGCTCGACGAGGGAGCTGAGGTGCCCCCACTGCTGCCCACTGCGTCGCGGGGAAGGCAGCGCAAGAAGCGATGG